TCGTGGCCCCAAAGGGCGTTCCACCGAAGGTCCCAATGGCGGAACTCGCATGCAGTTCCTGCGCCCATACACCGTCTCGTTGTCCCACAAGGAGCTCCACTGGAGGTCCCAGTGGCGCGACTCGCATGGTCCTGCGCCCAGTGCTCCGCTTCGTGGCCCCACCGAAGGTCCCAGTGGCGGAACTCGCATACGGTTCCTGCACCCACTGCGGTTTTTCGTGGCCCCATGAGGAGCTCCACCGAAGGCCACAATGGCCCAGTACGCCGTTTCGTGGCCCCATAGGGAGCTCCACCGAAGGTCCCGGTGGCGGAATTCGCATGCGGTTCCTTCGCCCAGTGCGGTGTTTCGAATCCCCATAGCGGCTCCACCGATGGCCCCAATGGCGGATCTCGCATGCGGTTCCTGCGCCCAGTACAGCTTTACGTGGCCTAATATTGAGTTCACCGAAGGTCCCGGTGGCGGAACTCGCATGTGATTCCTGCGCCCACGGCGGCGTTTCGTGGCCCCACAGGGGGTTGCACCGAAGGTCCCGGTGGCGGAACTCGCATGCGGTTCCTGCGCCCAGTACAGCGTTTCGTGGTCCCATACGGAACTCCACTCAAGGTCCTGGTGGCGGAACTCGCATGCTGTTCCCGCGCCCAGTGCTGTGTTTCGTGGCCCCATAGGGAGTTCCACCGAAGGTCCCACAGGCCGAATTCGCATGCGCTTCTGCGCCCAGTGCAGCGCTTCGTGGCCCAATTGGGATCACACCTTTCACACGCATCTTGGCCCCATCGTCTGGGCGCGAGTGGTTCGCAGCCAGACCTTCTCTCGGTTCTGTAGACTCTCGCCCTGGGCCGTCGGCTGTCCGGCGCGCCGCTCCCTCGGCCGACTTCGCCCAGGCGAGATCTTGGATTGCGGCCGCCACGAGGTCGGGAACGGCAAGAAGGAGGACGGCGACTGGTGGCTGGAGCTCTAAGCGTTGCTATCGCGCGTCACGCGCCACGACGACCTCGTCATGCTGGCGCCGCGGACCGAGTTCTTGCTGGCAGGGCCTTTGGGGGGCCCGCGGGAACAGCGTGAGCAGTTTGCGGCGCCCGCGAAGCGGTGCCAGAGGGAGGCGATGGCCTTCGCCAGGGAGCTGGGCTTCACCGAGTTTATCCACGAGGCCTGACAAAGGGGGCGGCCCGCCCGAGCCTCGCCCTCTCTCGACGGTCTGACTGTTTGGCTCTGCGCCGCGGGCGACCCGCGCGCGTCGCCGTGGCCTTCTCGGAGCGACCGGCGCGCGTCGCGGGAACTCCGCGCCGCGCTGTGCCCAGCGCCCCGCTTGCCTTTCGTCGCTCTGCCCAGCAGCCGGGGGCTCGCCCGCAATCGGCCGGCGAGCTAGCTCTCGCGGCGCCGCGCAGCGGGCGACCCGCGCGCGTCGCTGGGGCACCTTCGGGGCGACTGGCGCGCGTCGCCCGCGGCCCCGGGTTCGGGGGTGCGCGGGCGCAGACGGAGAAGAAGAGGGGGGGGCAATCTTGGGCGGTCTGGATTTTCTCGCCACCCTCACCGAACAGATCGCGGGCCGAGGGGACCGCGCCGACGGCCCTGTGGGGAGTTCAGCCGAAGGCCCCAGTGGCAGCGCCCGCGCGTCGGCGTCAGTTCACGTCGGCGCGCGCCTCTCGCGCGGTTCGTGCCCCCGCAGGGAGCTCCGCCGAAAACGATATTTGCAGACGCGTTACCCGCGGCTGCGCGTTGTTGGGTCATTCGCCAGGTTAATTTCTCGAAGTTCCTTCTCTTTCCGCCTTCCCCACCCCCGAGTGCCATTGCTACTGCTGCTATTACTATTGCTGCCACCTGCGGCTACTACTGCTACCCTGACCACCATTATTACTGCGACTGCGGCCCCAGCGATTGCTTCTTCCACGAAGAAAGATGGATGGGTCATGAGGGGCCAGGATGAGTACATCAAACATCTGCGCCCCACCGTCCACGCTAAACTCACTGGAGCAAAACCTGATCCCAAGGCTTCTGTGTTAGTTGCATATGTGCTCGTCAGCTCGCGAGGAACCCTTGCCTACGCACTCGTCGCGCAAATTTGGCTGATGATATACGTCGCCGCCCTCCAGAATCAAAAGGTTCAGGAACCCACGACCATCCAAACTAGGGGGCCCAACGCTGTGACGAAAAGGCTGACCCCAAGACGCTCGTATACATGACGACCTTCGGGGAACGTGGATGTACACAGCGATTCGGGATTCTGCGAATTCGCCGACGACTCAGAATTCGGAAAAAAAAAAATGGATCTGGCGTGCGATGGGGCCAATCTTATGAGGCACGTATCTCGCCAGCACGAAAGTCCGCCCTCTACCTTGTGGGCGGTCCTTTAGAGCTCCTGGATTACGTGTTCGATCAAATTATGTGGCTGAAGCACTTTTAGCATGGCGCAATTGGGATGCATGCTATCCGACTACGGTCACGCTGCGCGAAGGAACGTCTGGTTTCCCCGTTTGAAGCCGTCCGAGACATCCGAGAATTAGGCGGGTTGTCCATGGAAGCGCCGTGCACAATCGACTCGGAGTCGGCCTTCAATTCCGCATCGGTGAATGTGTGAAGTTTTCGACTGAACGTACATGAGTAGGCCGCATTCGTTGGATGCGAGAAATGACTGAAATAGGCGTTGTGCATGATGTGCGTGCAGTGTGCGGCCGACTGACATATCGAATACAGCATTGACAAGGAATTGTTGTTGGAGGTATTGTTGGACAGACAGGCTTCGAAGTGAGGTCAAGGCGTTTGCCCCGCTCCTTGGCGAAACCCCTGGCACGTGGCATTTTGGCATCTTCGAAAAGGGGCGGCTGCGATGTGAAGCATGCAATTTACCGTCGTCTGTTGTTGAGTTGTTTGGTGGGACAGCTCCTCGCATCAATAACCAGGCGCGAAAGGAAGCAGTGCTCCTGTTTGCCGAAGGCGCCCTTTAAGCAAACTGAGCGCTGATGGTTAACCCGTTGGTGACCGAACTGGAACGTCCCGCTCCATTAACCCCAGGGTGCCCGCCTCATGACCAGCAACGGTGCGGCATACGATCGTATAGTTCATCTCTTCGCGTAATGCGCACTACATGCACGTCCTCTGAGATGCGCACGCCAGGCAACAAAACATGATGCCTTTCCTTACAGACGTTGCCACAGCTATCGTGTATTGCAGTTCTGCGGGCGGTGCACGACTATCTATGCCTCTTCGCATCTTGACTGAAAGGGGGCCATCTAGGGTGATATCAGGACAGGCTGAAGTCGCGCGCGCACAATTTTCCTGGGCATATTGTGCACGCTGCTTGCGGGACGCACCCCCACCCTACATCCTGTATCCCTCCCTCTTACGTTACATCCATTTCTTGTTACATGATGAATTTACACTGGGACTTATGGTTTCGACCGAAAAAAAAAACCCTGGCACACCGCGAGCCCCCCCCAAAATTACACCTGAGAAGACCCCAATCAGTGGATGATGTGAAAATTGAAAATCTGGATCTGGCGAACGATTGTGAGATCGATAATGAAATCGACAGTGGAATCGATAGTGAGGACGATTGTAAGGTCGATCGTGAGACCGAGAGTGAAATTGATTCAATGAGATCGATAGTGAGATCGATCGCGAGATCGCTTGTGAGATTGATAGTGAGATCGATTGTGAGATCGATGGTGAGATCGATCGAGAAGTCGGTAATGAGATCGATGGTGAGACGGATTGATAAGAAGATCGACAAGGAACCCGGGAATTCGGGAACCTCGCCGCCCTGCGAAATCGGCCTGGAACCGGGAACCCAGGAACCCGGAACCGGGAACCCGGGAACCCTTGCCACCAAAATCGGCGGGGAACATTCGCCAAATCTTTCAATTTCCGCTGGGACCCCTTCAGTGCAAGCACTGATTGGGGAAAAACGAATGCTCTACGGAGGGGGGAGGCGGGGTACTTCCTCCCCGAAGGGAAGAGTGTTAGTGGAAGAGGGCCGAATAAGTTGTTTGACCACCTTATCCCACAGGGCTGGTGGGATGGATTCTCAGGCACAATATATTTGCAGCACACATGCCCGTCTGTAGTGCATTTGCAATGTGCCGTCCGCGCGCGTTGCAAGTGCCACGCGCCTGCACTAGCATACGAAGTATTTCCATGCCAAGCGCGCCAACTCTCGAGGCAACGGGTGTCTCGGATGAGCCTCCGACGTCTTCGATCACATTCCGGCGCGCCTGCGTGCCTTGTGCGTCGTTCTTGTGCATGTCCCGAGGCCGCTTGCAGGCGGGCGCTGCAACGAACGGCGGAGTGATGCAATCACGTCTGCGCGGGCCCGTCCGATTTCCGAGTGCCGCCTCGTTTTTTGCCACCGCCCCGTTTTAGCCATACCCCTTCTGTGGGCTGTCCAGAGCGGAGGAGGGGGGAACGGGAAGAGGAGGACGAACCCAGCTGTTTCATCTGATTTCAAGTCGGGCCTGTCCCTCTGCAGGAGGAGTGTTCAAAAAAAATGGTTCAAGAATCGTCAGGGGACGATTTTTCGACTATTTTTCAGCATTTTGGGAGTATTTTTTTTGACTATTCTTATTTTTCGCCCAAAATCCGCCTGTAGGCGGACACGCCCGTCCTAAATCTAATTGCGTTTGATGGTGCGCGGGGTGGGGGGGCGTCAACAGAGCTTCTTGGCATCGCTCGGACGTGTGCTTTTTTCCTTCGGCGAGGACCATCGAGGAGCATCCTTGATCATTTGGCGAAAAAGCCACGCACGAAACTGAACATGCACGGGGAATGGACGTCCGAGCGATGGCGAGGCTCGGTTTCACAAGCTCTGGTGCATAGCGGCTGCGGCACACCCTAGGCCTTTTCGCGCTCCAGTGCCTCCTCGTCCTCCTCCCCCGACTCCTCCTCGGAGCCTCCTCCTCCTCCTCCTCCGCCTCCTCCTCCTCCTCGGAGCCTCCTCCTCCTCCTTTCTTTCCCCGCTCGGTCCTCCATTGCCTCCTCTCGCCGTCCGGTGTTCTCTTCGGCGCCAGGTGAAGAGGGCCGAGATGGACCAAGGCGGCCCGCCCTCCGCGGAGGAAAAGCGATGATGGGCATGATGATGACGAGTCGCGACGGCGACGAGGATGATCATGATAATGGCGATCTGATTTGCAGTGGTGGTGGTGATGATGCTGATCAATGGTTGTGGTGGAAACTCCAGAACGCTCGCACTTCGGAGTTCTTGGTTTCGATGCCTCCTTGGCGCGCTGCCCACGGTTTTGCTTTGCTAGGTCAATGTGCACACCAGAACACTCGCACTTGGCTTTTCGTCTGGGAACTGCTTCGGGTTCAAACTGTGCTTTTTGAGCTTCCCCCATTACGACATCAGCGACTGCCGCCTGAGATTTCGTTGCAGTCGGCTCTCTCGTTCGAGACCTCTTTGCAATCTCAGAACTGCGCCCTCGGCCCTGACTTCCTCACGGCCCGTACCGCCTTCCAGGAGTCGTTGCAGGCGCGCTCGGCGCAGCGCCCGGGGCCGCCGGACTGATTCGTAATTCGGGCAGCCTGCGTGCTGGCTGCGTGCCCCCCGCCGCCCCACCCCCCCCGCTCCTCGCTCGGCCGCCTCTCTCCGCCGCGGGGCTTCCTCGACGGGTGGAGGAAAAAACGGTATCCTCGCCCGCGGTGCCACGGCGGTCTGCTGGGGGGCCGCGCTGCTGCCTGGGTCGTGGCCTGGCTTGCGAGCCCGTAGGGACCTGCCGAGAGATGGCGCTCTTTAGTGGATCGACTAACTACAGAATTTATTCACCCCGAAATTGATTTCTTCATCGCAACGGCTGACATGATATACAGTGTCCAGTAGATCCACGGAGCATCCCACGATTCTCTCGCAGATTCAAGGGGAAATCAATTCTAGACGCTTCGCGTAGCCCTGTCCAGGTGAGCGGGGAGGGGGCAGGGGGGAGGGGCAGACCCCTCCCCGAAGGGGAAGAAGGAGGGGTGGAAGAGGACACTCGGTAAACCACCGACGCCCTGAAGGGCTGGTGGGATTCGGGGGTAAATCAGTTCTGCAGTCGATCTCCTGCTCGAGCTCTCTTGCCGCTCAAGAGCCGCGCCCTCGCCCGAGAACCGTGCCTCGCCTGCCCTGCCGGCGTCGGCGCGTCCCCGCCCGTCGAGGGTCTCCGCCCGTCGAGGGTCTCCGCCCGCAAAATGTGCGTCCCTGCGCGGAGAGTCCTCCCCTGCCCAGCAGAGGGGGGGGGGACGTGTGGTCCTCTCGGAGCTGCACGAGATGGGCCGGAGCTCAGGGGTGACCAAAAAATGACAGAGTTTGCGTTCCAGCGCATTTTCGTTTGCGGCGTTGGGCGCCCTGGCGCGGACGGCCGAACGACCCCTGCAGCGCGACACCCTGCCCACACGGTCGGCGCCGCCAAAATTGCGCGTTCAACCGCGCAAGTCGGGGCCCTGAAGAAGGAACCCTTTTGGTTGGGGAGGGGCTCCGCGTTCCTTCAGTGTTTCACGGCTTGCCTCGGGTTTTCCTTGTGTCTTCGACAGGACATCGAAGTGTGGTCCCATCGGAGCTGTACGAGAAGGGCCGGATTTCGAGCATCGGGGGCGGACAAGAGGGGGGTGATGACTAGGGGGGGTGGATTTCAGGGCGCGGGCCACTGTTTTTCCTCTGATTTCGTGGCGCTCTTCTCATTTCATCACGTCCCAGGCCCCCCCGCTGGGCCGCGCACATGCCGCCGGTCATGATTTGCACCCACCCCTCTTGGACACCCCCCTCTTGGCCGCTCCCGAGAGTATGCATGGTTCATTTCTATTTCTTCGGCAGCTCTTTGACTGCTTGGGGGGCCAACATCCTTTCACTTCTAAGTGTTCCGTCCTGGGCCTCGTCCTGGCCGCTGGGGGGCCAGGAACACTTGAAGATGCGCACAGTTAGAAATGAGCACGATTAGAAATGGACGACGTGTATACGGGGTATACAGGTTGAGCTGCGCGGAGGCAAATAAGGACCGACCGCTTCCGCATGGCTTTGTTGAGCCTCGCCTGTGTAGTTCAGCGACTGTTGAGCCCTCCTCACCGGTGCCAAGTGATATTCAACATTTGGATGTCGCACCCTCTTCTTAGGGGACTGATTGGGGTGCAAACTGCGCCCCTGACACACTGACTACAACAAGGCTTCCGCCTTTACTTCTCACAGTTCACTCCAGGAGTCCGCTCTCGCCCGAGCTTGCCTTGCCATTTGCTCAATCATCGCGCTGTCCTTTGGGGCTTCCTTGCAATTCTTCTGCAACTTCGCGTATCCATACCAGCCCTCTCAGAAACCCTGCTTATGAAAGATGACGGGAAAAAGGCACGAAGGGACACATCTATTGAAACAAAGCTGGCAACCATGATGAACAGAGAGATCTCTGGGAGCAAGGGGGTGGCCTTGGAGGGCCTTTTCGGGCCATCCTGGGGCCTGCGGGGGGGCGAGGGGAGGGGGAGGAGGAGAAGGAGGCGGAGGAGGAGGAGGAGGAGGAGCAGGAGGCGGACGAGGTAATCCGCCTCTTGGGGCCCTTGAGGGAAGTTCTTGGGAGTTCTTGGGGCCCTCTTGGGGCCCTCTTGGGGGTCCCTTGGGAGCCTTGGAGGTCCTCTTCAGGCCATCTTCACCACAGGATGGGAAAAACTCGAAACGCTTGACAGTTGTCTCCTGACGCGCAAAATCAGCTCTGGGAATGTACTCCCGACAACATGAAGATGCGACTGAGGGAACGCAAAGTGGCGCCTGGCTGTAAGTGCTGCACACCCATGATTACAACCAGCCTCGGCAATGGAGTTCTGGCAGCACCAATAGCTGGCTGGCTGTAAGGGGTACGGAAGAGCTGTATCTGGATGAGCAACTCATTCCCCTTAGTGGATTTTCAGTAGCACCAAGAGTCAGGCTACACTCAACGGCCCAATGGCCCCAACTTAATCATGTCAACAGTGTCAGAACCCTCTAGACAGCTTAGTTCGAGAACAACGGCCAAGGGCTAAGCGGGTAGGCTCCGCAACGTTGGCGCACGATAGCAGGGTGGCCACAGATTCCTAGCACGCAGCGTTGACACGCAGTGCCGACCCACGGTGCCAGCACGTAGCGTCGACGCGCACGCAGTGGTGTGCTCTGGAGTCGTGGGCATGATCTCAGGGAGGATTTGCGAAGGACCAGGGGGATGCGCGGGAGGGCCCCCCTGCACCCGTCCACCGTGCCCTTCCCCTCGCTCCTCCCCGTCGCCGTCCCTCTCGTCCTCCCCGCCCCCTGCCCTGGGCCCTGGCCGCCCACTCCCCGGGTGTGCTTCGGCCCTCGCCCATGGGTCGTTGAACGTAGGCATTTGTGGCTTCCCAGATGCCAGTCTGCCGCAAGCGCCTTCCCGCTTCATTGATCGAGTGGCTTTCCCTTTTCCGTCTTCTTCGGGGGGCGCGCGGAACCCAGTCTGCTTTCGGCGCCGTCCTATTTCATGTTTCTACCTACTTCCTTCCGACCGACGGGTATTGCCCGCTGCCCTGACCTTCAGTTCGTCTCCTATTCACGACCCCTTTACTGATGTATCACTCATGCCTGTTTCACGCTTCTTTCCTGTGCTGCCTCCGCCTCTCTTCTCTTCCCAATCGCTCACTATCAGTATGAAGTTCCCTCCCTCTATCCACAATTTTCGGTGTGCATCGTACACATAAAATATGATTGGAGTGTTCATTCGATCTGCCCAGATCTCTCTTTCCCTCTCTCGCGAGTGGCGAGGTGAAGAAGGGAGGGATTGGAGCAAAGGGGGAGGGTTGGGGAAGGGGAATGGGGGAAGGAGTGTCCGCACGGGCGCGACAAGGGCCTGTTCTTTTGCCTCTCCCTCCCCTCCAATACTCCCCTGCCCTCCCAATCCATCCCTCTCCTCCCTCTACCTCGCCTCATCTCTCTCTCTCTCTCTCTCTTCCCTCACCGCTCTCTTTCCTCTCCCCTCCTTTTCTCCGCCATCTCCTCTTGACCCCTACGCTGCCCCGTTCTGTGCCCTTGTCCCAGCGACGCGCCCGCAGCCATGACGTGCGACCACAGCAGCGGTCCTGCCATGCTTATTCTTGCGCCCACGCGAGAGCTGTGCCAGCAGATTTACGAGGAGTGGACATGGGCTGGAAGCCTGGAGGAGAAGGAGGAGGGGGAGGAGGAGGAGAAGGCGGAGGAATAGGAGGAGGAGGAGGAATAGGAGGAGGAGGAGGAGGAGGAGGAGGAGGAGGAGGAGGAGGAGGAGGAGGAGGAGGAGGAGGAGGAGGGCCCCTGGACGAGGAGGAGAAGGAGGAGGAGGAGGAGGAGGAGGAGGAGGAGGAGGAGGAGCAGAGAGAACTTGAAAGGGAGGAGGATTCATTCTCATCGTGCACCACTGATGCTGAATGCACCCGTGCTTTAGCTTCTGAGGTGTATGTGTGTGTATATATATATATATATATATATTGGGAAGGCGTTACGGTCGGTGCCGCCGACCCTGTGTGCGGGACCTCCCCCAGGACCACCGTTGCCCCCCCCCCCCTCTCAGGGACCCCCCGGGACCCCACGGGAGCCCAGGAGGGCGGCATTCTGACCCGAGACCCCGCCCCCGTCCCCCCCCCTCGCCTGGCGGGGGGAAGAGATCAGAGGGACGGGGCTTCCCTGCTGACTCCATTACGATGTTCAGGGAAGGGATCAAAGGGAAGAGATCAAAGGGAAAAGATCAAAGGGAAGGGGCTTCCCTGCTGACTCCATCACGATGTTCCTCGATTTCCTTGGGGCCGGCGGTGGAAGGGGATGGCCCGTGGAAGCGGAAGGGAGCGGCGACGGCAGCGGCGGCGGCGGCGGCGGCGGCGGCGGCGGCGGCGGCGGCGGCGGCGGCGGCGACGACGACGACGACGACGACGACGACGACGACGACGACGACGACGACGACTCGCGAGCGAAGTGAACCCCACCCTCCCCCTCAGAAATCGTGGGGGGTAGGGGTAGGGCTCGCATGTGGCCCCCTAGGATGGGCTGGGGTCCTGCTCGGGTTCGGGCGCAACTCCTGGGAGGTTGAATTCTGATTCTGCCCTGGTCCGGAGTCTGGCTTAAAATCTGGCTCGATCCCGCTTCATCCCGCTGAATCCGGCATAATCCCGCTGAATCCGGCTTCATCCCGCTCAATCCGAGGCCCTCTCTGGCGTAAGAGCCCCGCAGTGGGGCCTAATCCTCCTTGCTCTTTTCGACGAAGACCTCCCAGCAGTTGCCTCTTGATTTGGTGCCAGCCCGTTGGCACCTCGTGGGCTCGTGCTCCGCAGGACAGCCATCGCGCCGCAGGGCTTCCACCACACGGACTGCACCGCACGGCCTGCACCGCACAGCTTGCGCCGCGCAGCCTGCACCACCACGCCTTGCACAACACCGATTTCGCCGCACGGGGCACACCGCACGGCTTGGGTGTGCACGGGCATTGGTGTGCGTGCGCACAGGCCCTGTGGTGAACACAGGCGTGGGTGTGCGTCACTGGCACTGTGGTGCACAGAGGCAGTCACCACCCACCAAACCACCCCAACCCAACCCGAAGGCTCAGATTTACCCTCGATTTCCAGTGGGGGGGGTCGGGAAACATCGAAAAAACACATATGGAACCCTTACCCCCCCCAACCCGAAATTCGGGTCTTCGGGTTGGGTTGGGGTGGTCTAGTAGGTAGTCAGGCAGCGTGGGGTACGGAAGCGCTGTGATGTGCACAAGCATTGTGTTTCACACTGGCCCTCCGGAGCACGCAAGCACCTCTGATGTCTTAACACGCGCTGTGGTGCACGCGGGCAATGTGGTGTACACAGGCACTGTGATGTAACACGGAGGTCCCTGCGCGAGCGTCTTGTGGAGCCTGCAGGCGCTGCGTCTGCTGCTCGTGGCTACACTCAGCAAGCCCCCAAGGGCCAGCCCCTACCCTTAACTCGGGCATGTCCCTCTACAGGGGGAATATTTCGGGGGAGCGTAAGACCCGGGTTTGCCAGGACTCGGGTTCGCCATTTTTTTTTTGACGACCGCGACTCGGATTTTGACGAGGAGGAGTTTTGTGGGATGTCTGCAGCGGGAGGCCTCGTCAAAATGCAGGCTCGGCCTCGTCATTTTCTTGACGACCTCGTCGGGGATTTCCGAGTCCCCCGTACCCGGGTCTTACGTCTCTTCGAATATTCAAGAATAGTCAAAAGCTAGTCAGAGGGCGATTTTTCGTGCTTGTCTGAATTTATGTGAATATTTTTTGTCAACTTAAGTTTTTTCTTCCCAGATCCGCCTGTAGGAGTACATGCCCGACCTAACCCTACCCTGAGCTATCCCAGGCAGATCTTACCTGCATGCTAATCCTGATCCCTTTTGCGATTTTGGCCGTTGCTGGCTTCTCTTGGTGGGCCTCTTGTGAGCCTTCCTAGGAGACTCGGAAAAAAGAAGCTCTCGCGCCAACTTGAGGCGCTCTCTGGGCCTCATCGGGCCAAGTTGGGGCACTCTCTGGACGGTCGACGCGCCGATGCCTCGACAAGACCGGCCGCTTTTCTGCAGTGCCGGCGCCCACCTCGAGTCCGCTCGGAGCCTCTCTCGAGGCCTCTTGTGCGCTTCGGGGGCACCCTGCGTGGTGTTCGTCAAGGGCAGAAAAAACGCCCCTACCCTGGTTTACGAGGCGCTGTGCTCTGAAACTCCTGTGGGCTGACAGGGTAAGCCCTGCGTGATGTGCCGCGTCCTGGCGGCTCTAGGCTTTGGGGGTTCCCAGGAGGTTTACAGACCACGCACTTGTAATCCAGGGTAGGGTCGTTTTTTCATCCCTCAAGTTCGAGGCCTTTTGGCCTCTCGACGGCTTCCGGGGCCTTCTGTGGGCCACTCCTGGAGCCAGAGGCACGCGGACCTGCCCTCCACGGCCCGCCTTCCCGGGCCCGCGGGCCCACCCGCGGCGTGCCACTTGGCCCTCCCGAGGCCACGTTTTTTGGCGGACCTCCTCTGCCGCTGGTCGGCAGCTCTGTCAAGCCTCTCGGGAGGAGGACGGGCGGGGGGGTAGGCCGCTCGCTCAAGAACCCCCCCCCGAGGACCTCAGCAGATTGCGCGCAATTTGCATTCTGCATTCTCAGTCGGGGAGGCGCAGCACCGCTGCGGCCTCTCTTTGATGTCGATTCCCGTAGATTCCCCGCCCACGACCAACTTAGATCTGGCACGTCCGGTGTACGATCTCTGGCACGCGCCTGGGCGAACCCAGGAGTTCATCAAGTGCCGAGCTCTCGGCGCTCCGGCGCCCCTGCCGCAACCCCTAGTGGGCTTGGCCCCCCGCCCACTACCAGCTTAGACCTGGCACGTCTGGTGCACGATCTCTCGGCACGCGCCCGGGCGAACCCAGGAGCCATCGAGTGCCGAGCCCTCGGCGCTCCGGCGCCCCCGCCGCAACCCCTGTAGTGGGCCGTCCTCCGGGACGTCTGTCGGCGCCTCGCCGCGCCGCGCCTCGCCTCGCCTCGCCTCGCCTCGACTCGCCCACTATCAGGAGGGGACAAAAACACACACAGACACAATTAATCGTCGATTCCCAAGAAAATAAAAATATGGGGATTGGGCGGGAAGACAAAAAAACAGATAATATGGGAAAATATGGGGAATCTTTTTATTTGTGTGTATTTATTTGTGTGTCCCAGGGCCCCTTCACACTAATCATTTTCTACCCCACCGGGAGAAGGGCTGGGCGCACACCTGCCGATACCCAAGGCCCCGGCGAGTATGGAGGAAAAGGGTAGCAGTGCTGAGTCGGGCGTGTCCTTCTGCAGGAGCAGTGCTCAAAAGTCGAGAAAAATAGTCTGGGGAAGATTAGCCGACCATTTTTGAGCACTTTTTGAATATATATATATATATATATATATATATTGTTTTTGCACATTTTTGATTTTGCCCCATATCCGCCTGTAGGGGACATGCCCGACCTGATAAGAGTGACTGGACCACTGGCTCGGTGCTCCACCTGGGCGGCCAGGCCCGGCTGCAGCCAGCTGCGCTCGGTGGCAGGTCTCTGCGAGCGTTTGGCTGATTCAGGAGGGAACAAAAACACACAGACACAATTCATCGACGATTCCCGAAGAAAATATGGGGAAATATGGGAAGTGTGGGGGGGGAGACAAAAGCCCAGAAAATATAAGAAAAATGTTGGGAATCCGCTTATTTGTGTCTATTTATTTGTGTCCCAGGGCCCCTTCACTGACGTGCTTGTCTCGTCGTCCTCCTCCCCCTTCCCTACCCTTTCCCTCCCCCTCTCCTCGCCCGCCCCCTTCACTCTACCCTCGTTTTCATGACGCTTCTCCTCCGCCTTCCTCATCTTCCTTCTCCTCCCTCCTTTCCCTCTTTCTCCTTCTCCTCCTCCCTTCAGCATCCCTTGCTGCTGCCGCTCCCCCCACTCCCCTTTGTCCCTCTCCCTCTCCCCATCCCCTTCCCTCACCCTTTGCCCCCCAGTCAGCCAAGCTGCGCCGACTGAGTCTTCAGTCATCTCCGTGGCTTCAGATTGCCAGGTAATTTCAATGGCGCCAGGCTGCGCGGTTATTTCAGTGGCGGGAGATAGTAGCCTCGCAGTACAAGAGGTATCATGATATTCCTAAACCGATGTGAAGTTGGACAAACTGACCGGATCAATCGAACCCCCTAACCCTTCGCGTCCCCATTTCTTCCACTCTCCCTCATCATGATCATCGTGCGGCGCAGGAGAGCGACCGCTTCGGCAAGCCGGCACAAATCGTGACGGCCCGCTTCAGCCCACTCCTGAAGAGGAGGAGAAGGGATAAGGAGGGGAAGTTATTGATTAGAAGTATGAGGGCAAAATGTGGTAGGAGCAGCAGGACGAGGAGAAAGGAAGATGGGTCAGAGGATGATGATTAGGAGGTCAGAGGATGATGATTAGGAGGAAGAGGAGGAGGAGGAGGAGGTAGATGAAGAGAAGGGAGCAATACGAGGAGGAGGAGGATAAGACGGACCAGAGTAAACCCACCATGCATCAGCGATGCTGCAATACCCCCCCATGCCTCAATCCCCCTCATCATAAGTCCATGTCAGCCTTTCGTTTCTCTACCAGAGAAGCCCTTCAACGACCAGAGTCCATTGTTGGTTTGCCATTCAGGCGAGATCCCCGTTTTGACAAGGAATGACCTGGCATATTTTTAGCGCGTAATCAGTAAGCATAGAAGGTTTGACCAGACAGTCCAGCAAAGTGCTGAGCGAGATCTCGGTTCTGTAGCAGGGGGTCGCCAGCATTCATGGATTTGCCATACAGTTTGACACGTCTGGTCATGACACTCACGGACATCGCAATTCAAGGAACTCCCTTGCATCCGTGCAACTGCTACCTATGTTGAAGCTTCCTGGTCATTCAATTCGAGGAAGTCTCAAGCAGCAGCCCCACTTCGAGAAGGAGCCGTCCTCCACCCGTGGAACTTTTGCAAGATTTTGAGACGAATGCATGCGGCGCTGAGGCGTTTTTTTTTTTTTTTTTTTTTTTTGTTGTTTTTTTTTTTTTTCCTCTTTTTTAAATTTTTTTCCTACTTATGATCTACTCTTGAAGCCGCTGCAGCGTTTCAGACGACTGCGCGCGGCGCCAAGGCGAGAGCTCCATTGTATGAAGTACGCACGGCCCATCCCTGTATAGCTTGCAAGCGTTTGATGCCAAGGCGAAAGCTCCACTTAAACAACGACTTGTGCTCCATCCTTGTACTTGTTGTGAATCCAAGGTTTAGGATCAGAAATGGTGAAGAAGGATCTGACGAAACGACTGGGCTGCAACAGGGAGGAAAGGTTTGCAAAGACAGGGGATAGAGGGAATAGGAGGAGGAGGACGAAAGAGGAGGGAAGTCAATGCCCAGCTGCCTGCCGCAAGTTACACCACTGGGCCAGCCCAGCACCTTGTGTGGCGGCTGTTCGGGGTTGCGCATGAGGTCGTGACGGGTGACACCTCGTACCACGAAGCTTGCGGGAACCGAAACATGTGACGCACTCTTCCGCGTCGTGTCGAGTGTTCTCCTCTCGTCGTCTTCGGTTTGCTCTCTTTCATCCATCCTTTCCTGGGCTCCCGTGAAGCAGTTTTGGGGGTCCTTTGGGCCGTTCTTGGCCGCTCTGAAGCTCTCTTGGGCCGTCGTGAGACCCCCCCTTGGCCGTCTGGAGGGTCTCTTGTGGCCCTCTTGGGCCGTTTATGGGGCTCGCCTACAGTTGGCCCGGATCAGTAGGTCGACCCTGCCAGCTCAAGGGTACCCTTGTGTCCTGCGCCTCGCGACACGTGCCTTCTTACACTCCTCTGGCGATGTGGCCCTCGGAATCTCTCGCGTGTCCTGTCCAATCAGGGCCGACTGTAGGCCTTCTGGGGTCCCTCCGGAGGCCCTCCTGGGCCCGCCAGGGGCGCTCCTGGGGCCGGCCTGGGCCCTCCCAGGGCCCCCTCTTCGGCTGTCCCGGGGCCGTCGGGGAGGAGCCCTGGGCCAGCGGGGGGACTCTCTCTCGGGCCGTGCTGGGAACATCTTGGAGGCTGCAGGAAGCCCGAAAGGGCGAAGTCTACGATTTGGGACCCTTCCGGCCGTGCCCGCGTTCCTCTCGTGGCCCTCTTGGGCCGTCTTGGCCCAAGAGGGCCAAGACTCTGGGCCCTCTTGGCCCTCTTCCCCCAAGACTCTCGGGGGCCCCTGGGCCCAGGAGGCCCCTCGGGCCACCACCCTGGCGGCCTCGGTTGCCTGCCCCCCCCTGGGCGTCTTGGATGCCCGTGAGCGCGGGCCCATGGGGTTTTGCAAAGGATTGTTGCCCTGGGGGCGCAGATCTATACGTATTTTTCTACGAGGGATCGCGACCTCGGGAGCGCGGACCCACAGTTGATAACTTGGGATCGTGGCCTCGGGATAAACGGGCGATGCACGTGGTACAGTCGGGGCGCTGAAGAAGGAACCCTTTTCGTTGGGGAGGGGCTCCGCGCTCCTGAAAGGTTTCGCAGCTTGCCTTAGGTTTTCCTTAGGTATTCGATATGAAATCGAAGTCTAACTTATGGAAAATAGGGGCCTCGTTCCTTATTTAGGGTTCCTTAGGTCAACGCCCCGACTGTACTCTGCTGCGGGAGGGGGGGGGTCTTTAGGAAGGTGGCGGAAATTCTACCAGACAGCACTTAGTATTCTCCCACGCCTCAACGTGCCAGGGGGTACGATGGCGGATGATGGACGATGCGGAAGGGAGAATGTGATGATGCGATGATGACGATGATAATGATGGCGGTGGTGATGCTGGCGATGCTAATCTTTATGATTGTAGTACTGATTATGAGTTTGAGGATTCTGATGCTGCTGATGATGATGCTGCTGGTGATGATGACGATGACGATGAAGGTGAGGATGATGACGATGATGACAATGATTATGGTGATGATGATGACGATGATGATGATGATGATGATGATGATGATGATGATGATGATGACGATGATGATGGTGATGATGATGATGATGATAATGATGATGATGATCATTGTGATGATGGTGACGATGCTGATGATGCTGATGATGCTGATGGCGATGATGTTGATGATGCAACTGGTTGCGATGGTGATGACGGTGAGGATGAGGAGGATGAGGATGGTGACGATGACGGTGATGCTGATGATGCTGATGATGATGGAGATGATGACGATGGTGACGACCACGATCATGCTGATGATGATGATGCTGATGATGATGGCGATGATGATGATGATGATGATGATGATGATGATGATGATGAGGATGATGATGGTCACGATGGCGAGGCTGATGATGATGCTGATGATGAGGATGACGATGCTGGTTACGAGACTGGTGCTGATGATGATACTGATAATGCTGATGATGTTGCTAATGCTAATGATACGGATGATGATGCTTATGCTTATGATGGTGGTGAGGATGATGATGGTGATGATGAGGATGATGATGCTGATGATGACGGTGTTGGTGACGATGCTGATGATGATTACCCCAGTGCGACCGTACCTAGAAGTCTGAGCCCCTAGGAAAGCAGCATTAGTTGCTATGCTATGCTATGCTATGCCATGCTATGCTGCGCTATGCTATGCTATGCTATGATATGCTATGCTGCGCTATGCTATGCTATGCTATGCTATGCTATGATATGCTAAGCTATGCTATGCTATACCATGCTGCGCTGTGCTACACTAAACTATGCTATGCTATGTTATGCTATGTTATGCTGCGCTATGCTATGCTATGCTGGGCTATGCTATGATATGCTGTGCTGCGCTATAGCATGCTACGCTATGCCATGTTATGCTGTGCTCTGCTATGCTAAAGCTCAACGAAGCTAAGATGAAGGTAAGCTAAGCTAAGATAAACCTGAACTGAGATGAAGCTAAGCTAAGCTAAGATGAATTAAGCTAAGCTAAGATGAGATAAGCAACGCTAAGCTAAGGGGACGTAACTGGGGGAACTGCGGGGCGGATGCCGGGGGAACCGCCGGGGGCGGGTTCCACTGCCCGGCCCTTTAAGCTCATATAATGGTAAGAACCTTTCTAGGCAGAGCCTAGGTAGGGAATGATGGTGTTGCTGAAAAGAAAGGAAGATGCTGATGAGTATGACGACGTTGTCGACGATGGCGATGCTGTCAAGGGTGATGATCACGATGGTCATGATGGTGGTGGCGATTATGGCGATTGTGATGGTGATGGTGATGATGCCGATGATGATGCGGATGAGGAAGCTGATGATGATGATAATGAGGATGAGGATGAGGATGATAAGGATGGTGGTGGTGATGATACTGCTGCTGCTGATGATGATGATGATGCTGATGATGATGATGATGACGATGATGATGATGATGATGATGATGATGATGATGAGGATGATGATGATGATGATGATGATGATGAGTTCGATGACGACGGCGAGGAGGAAAAGGAGGAGTATGAGGAGGAGGAAGACGCCGACGACGAGGATCGGGAGGTGTGGAATTATGTTGATGATGGTGATGATGAGGAGGAGCTTGGGCCCGCTTCTGCCTTCGTTCTCACGTTCGTCGTTGCCGCTGTCGTATTCATCGTCGTTCGAAGTCGTCGTCTCTTCCCTCAGCGTCGCCAGGTGTCATCGTTCATGATCGTTCGTCGTTGTCGTTGTGTATCGTTGTCGTCATTCGTCAGTGTCGCCAGTCGTCGTCGTCGTCGTCGTCGTCGTCGTCGTCGTCGTCGTCGTCGTCGTCGTCGTCGTCGTCGTCGTCGTCGTTATCCGCCGCCGCCGCCGTCGTGGTGCCGTTTTCCCCGTGGTCACCGCCGCCGCCGCTTTCGACGTCTCCAGTGTCGTCGTATTTTTAGTTTTCGAAGTCGTCGGCGACGTCGCATCATTGCTGCAGTCGCGATTGTTGTTCCCACCATGGCTGTCACGATCAGAAGGACGGCGCAGGACTTTGACGGTTGTCACTTTCGATGTAAATGTGCCTTGAATTCTCCCTATGCTCACTTTTCACCACTCTTCTCGTTGCCGCCGTCCTCCTCGCCTGATGCTTGCGCCTGCCACCACTTCTCACCACTCTGCTCGGTGACGCCGTCCTCCTCGCCTGATGCTTGCGCCTTCCACCACTACAGATTCCGACTTCCGACCTCGCCTGGCCTCACCCTTCACATCTCTCTTCTTCTCCTCCGCCTTTCGCTTCCCCCTTCCCTTCCTTCTCCTCCCCCTTCCCTTCCTCCCTCCTTACCTCCCCCGCCGCCCGGCGGTGGTTCACCGCGCCCCCCCTCT